TTATGATTTTTTTTTTAAGTTTCTTATGCTCACCAAGGATGCGTTCAATTCAATTAAAAATACAGTGAAAAATATTTTGAACTATTATGACAATTTAAAACAACTGTTTTGTATTTAAATATATTTTAAAATGTAATTTATTCCTGTGATGCAAAGCAGCATCATTACTGCAGTCTTCAGTGTCACATGATCCTTCAGAAATCATTCTAATTTTATTTAAAAACATTCAAAAATCTTAATTATTCCAAACATTTGATTGGTAGTGAAAATTTAGGTAGCAGATTTTTTTTCTTAAATAAACGGATACATTTATTCAGTAAGGATGTATTAAATTAATCAAATATGACAATAAAGACATTTATGTTGTTCTTTTGAACTTTCTATTCATCAACAAATCCTGAAAAAATATATATCAGGGTTTTCAAAAAAATATGAAGCAGCACAACTGTTTTCAACATTGATAATAATCAGAAATGTTTCTTGAGCAGCAAATCAGCATATTAGAATGATTTCTGAAGATCATGTGACACTGAAGACTGGAGTAATGATGCTGAAAATTCAGCTTTGATCACAGCAATAATTGACATTTTAATATATGAAAATAGAAAATATTTATTTTACACTGTAAAAAAAATTCACAGTATTACTATCTTTTTCTGTATTTTTGACCAAATAAATGCAGCCTTGGTGAGCAAAAGAGACTTTCAAAAACATAAAAAATGTGACAACCCCAAACTTGAGCAATAGTGTCAATACTACAATAAATGAAGAAAAAAATGTAGTAAAATAGAATTATATATTAAATGAAAATGCTGTGCAGTGCTTTGATATTTGCTGGATGTGTATGACGGCAGAGATTGTGTGTGAACATGACACTCACTACACCAGTGCTAGGTTCTTGTCTCCCATGGCCTCCAGGTGTTTGGCGTAGCTGTAGTAAGTGGTTCGGAGGTGAATGCGGTCGTGCGTTTCTGCCGTCTCCACCGCCTGCTGCCACTGACCTGCCGCCTGATAAAACTTATTCAATAAATCAAACCTCCCGCACGACTTATACAAACGCTCTGCATCCTCCTGCGAAAAAAAGAGAGAAATGCTGCGATAAGCCCAAACGTTTAAATCCAAATGTTTAGTTCTTGTTATTGTACTGAATGAGACAGAGAGGCTCCAAGTACACTAGGTTTATTTAGACAATGCTGTGTTTGTGCTTGTGTGCTTTAAACACGACATGAAACGTCATTCGCAATGTATTCAGCTTTCATAATGTGACACACCTCAGAGTGAGACATATGTGTGTGTGTGTACATATACTGTATATATATATATTATATAAGAGGTGAATTTTCATCTTTAGGAAAGTGTTTATGTGCCATACCAGCATGCCCAGCTGTGTAGCCAGTACGGCCACCTGTGCCTCCACCTCTGGCTCTTTTTCAGCGTTCCTGAGAGCACGTGCGGCCCGTGCGTTACCCATGTTCCCCAGACACACGCGCGCCACGTCCAGACGACAACTCTTCACACACATCCACGCCATGTTCTCCCACACTGCCTCACTGGAGATGCAGATACACACATACACACAACATACAAAAGATTCAGTTCACTTCAAAAGCCAAAGATGTCTCAAAAAACTTGAATGAAGAACGTTTTTAAAACTCATCCTAACAGTCTTAAAAAAGGTTCTTCTTCTCAATAGCCATTTCTGGCGCTATACGGTTCTTTGGTCTTTGAGGTTTCAGGTTCCTTAAATCAACAGACTGGTTTTTGGGCTCTTTAAAGCAGAAGTATATAGAAGCTTTTCTAAAGCACTAGAGAGTGCTACTACACTTTTTGACGTACAAACTTCCATGACTTTTCTAATCTTTTGTGATTCCTAAATAAGATTCAGATGCATCTGCTAATGATTCACTCAGACCAATTTGTAAACTCAGCAACATCCATTATCTCATGATTCAGACATTATTATGGCTTACAAGCAATATTTACTCTACATAAACTCTGCTGTAAAATATTTTAAAGGTGAGCATAACAATAAAGATGTATATTCACCATAGAAATGAGAACGACTTTCTAAGAATTCTTGGTAAAACTTTACAATAAAGTTCCATTTGTTAAAAAATATTAATTTTGACATTTACTAACAGATTATTCAAATTAAAAGATGTATCTGTTAATATTATTTAATGGACTTGTGCTAACATGAACTAACAATGAACAGTTGTGTTTTTATTAACTAAAGTTAACAAAGAGTATTAAATATTGTAACAAATGCACTTGTCATTTTTAGTTAATGTTACTTAATGCATTAACTAATGTTAACTACTGGACCTTATTATATAAAGTGTTACTAAATTCTTTATTGGGAAGATCCTGTAGAAACAAAAAAAGTTTTTGCACAACTTAAAAAGGTTTACAATGACATCATGTTTTAAATTTCTTTTTTGTTCAAAAATGAAAGTTCTATGTTTAAGTGTGTAGATTACGAATGCTTTTATTGGCAAATAATGAAATTTTCCTTCTCTTTTTTTCTGCACTTTTTTTAAGTGTGGATCCATGTACTGAAACATAACATGAAGCAACAAATCTGTCTTTAAAGGCTGAGAGGATGTTTTAAAGATGATACTGTGGAAACTCTTCACACTTCAGCACTTAGCAGCTGCTCTTTGAATGTTTCTGCTGTTTCTCTCTCCGTTCCACCTCATGAGCGAACCGTCCCAGCTATGCATGGAATGACCCTATCAACACCCAACACTCTCTCGCCCACATTCCCTCTCTCCCACTCGTTTGGCCATTTGTGCCCTCCCTTCGTTTTTCATCCACTCCCATCTGGTCTTTATTTATACAAAATCCCCCCATTCTCTCATTTTTTTGCTCGGTTCGGCTTTTAGTAGACAAAGATGTGGGCCGTTTATTAGGCGTTAAGCAACAGGAAATTCTCTCAATCTTTGGGGGCCCAGAACTGGAAAAGAAACCACAGAAAAGTAGACCGAGAAGCTAATCCAAACAGAATGAATTATGAATTTCCCGTTTTTTGGATAAAACATGCAAATAAAGCAAGTTTTTACATTGTTCTGGGTGGCTGCAAGTCAAAAAAGCCTAAAGTCTCTATGATCTTCTAGTCTCTAGGCTCCTTCAGTGTGCAGGATTTTGTCACTTGTTTTATGGTCCAGTAAGTGACACAAAGCAGAGCACTCCTCAACAAGATACATGATTTGAGGAATCATTTATGTCTTGAACACAAACACTGCAGCATAATGCATAACATTCTTAAAAATAAAGGTTCCTAAAGGTGGTTTTCGCAGTGATGCTGTAGAAAAACCATTTTGAGTTCCTCAAAGAACCTTTCAGAGAACAATTCTTAAAATAACCATTTTTTCTTAGTCTGAAGAACACTTTAAACAACTAAAGAACCTTTTATGCAATGGAAAGGTTCCATGGATGTTACAGGTTCTTCATGGAACCGTAGATTCCAAAAAAAGAACATTCTTAAAAATAAAGGTTATTTACTGGCATCAATGGTTCCATGAGGAACCTTTAATCTCCATAGAACAATTCCTTCCATAAAATATTCTTTATAGTGTAAATATGTTCTTCAGATTATTAAAATAAGCAAAAATAGTTATTTTAAAGAAATGTTCACTGGAAGGTTCTTTGGGGAACCAAAAATGGTTCTTCTATGGCATCGGTGTGAAAATGGCCTTTTGGAATTTTTAGGAGTGAACCTTTAATTTTGAGAGTGTGTAGAATGGAAAGATTCCATGGATGTTAAAGGTTCTTCATGGAATCTTTAATGCTAATAAAGCACCTTTATTTATAAGATAGAAACTGAACTTTAATAATTAAAGGGTTAGTTCACCCAAAAATGAAAATTAGGCTGCGTTTTACTCACCCTCGAGGCATCCTAGGTGTATATGACTTTCTTCTTTCAGACGAATCCAATCGGAGTTATATTAAAAATTGTCTTTGATCTTTCAAGCTGTTTAATGCCACTCAGCGGGTGTTGCATTGCTTCAGTCCAAAAGAACTTAAATAAAAATTGCCCATCCATAAAAAAAAGTGTCTCACACGGCTCCGGGGGGGTGAACAAAGGCCTTCTGTAGTGAATCGATGCGTTTTGTAAGAAAAATATCCGAAAAATAACAGGCCTTTGTTCACCCCCCGGAGCCGTGTGAGACACTTTTTTTATGGATGGGTGCTTTTTATTTAACTTCTTTTGGACTGAAGCAA